CATCAGGCAGGCAGAGGCAGGAGAACCCTGGCATCCAGGCCAGTGTGTTCTATATGGTCATGTAATGTCTCAATATAAGAGGAATCCTTGTCAACTCACTCATTGCTGGTCTCTTGAATTCAACAAGTGAAGATAAGGGTCTAATAAAATTATTACAGCATGGATTTCAAAAATTATGAAAAAATTATGCTCACACAGTAAATGATGGGAAAGAGAATGATGAATAAGATATTAAAATGCTCAGAAATCATTTTGCATGATGATGAGAACAGAGCAGAACTCTTCAGATCTGGCAAGTAGAGAGGGATCAAACTTCTTCAGTTTTTATAAAACACAATACAAAGGAAAATACAAAGAGAGTATAAAACATTAAAACAAGACACCAAAGCAGGTATGCTAAGTGTTATAGAAGAAATATTCATAGTAAACAAAGTATACCCAAAGCAACAGTAAGAATCATAAGGCAAAAACCTCAACAAAGGTGACATAATTATACCATGACAGCACCAATCTTCTTGGTTAGTAATAAATATCCCAGGAAACATAAATGTTGATGAATTTTTGTACCTGCTGACGAAACGGGAAAAAAAATAAAGAATCAACACACCACAATATTTATAAATGCATATGCATGAATAAAATGTATAGAGAAAGCTAATCAGAAGCATCTATAAGTTACACATTGCTCGGATGATAGTAGTATGACCAGACAAGATTTTACCTAAACAGATGCTAACCCATGACTAGAATGCTAACACTTGAAAAAGTGGTAAGTAGCAAGAAATATGCCAAACATATTTGTGAAGACCAGACTTTTTATTAGGAAAAACAACTGTACTTAGTACAAATAAATTTTTATTGAATGACATGTATTTTTTAAATATATCAAATTAAAATAACACAAATATAGAAATTAATGCATTATCAAAAAGTAACAAATTATAAGGGTGATAGTGCATCTTTAATAATACAACACAAATTAGGGAAACACTTCAAGTCTCACCAAGGACAAGACAGAAAAACAGAAATAGCACATTAACAAAGTTTGAAATCTATAAATATAAAACTTTCTACATGAGCCATTTTTAAATATGAACTATCCAAATAACCAAAACACACCAGTAATCATAAAATAAAATAGAAATATAACGACCTTAAGAAATTAATATTATGAAGTTTAGAAAGTCTGCCATATTAGCTTTTTCATTTCCTTTTTAATTTTTTTTATTGCTGGAGAATTTCCTGCTTGAATATAATGTATTTTGATTTGACATAATTTGATTAAATCCACCCCAACTGCCTTTGCCCTTACTCTCTGACAACTTTGTGTGTTGTTTTTGTAAACCCAGTGGGTTCAGATAGCCATACCTGTAGGCTTGGATATTGAACCATCCACTGGAGATGGGCAGCCTCTCAACATGCTCTGTAAATGGGGTGGGACTCTACCACTCCACCACCACCTGTGCAGGGATGTAGAGTGGCTTCACACCGTGAACGTGCCACCTGCTGTAGGCCCACCTGTGCAATATCTCTATCAGGAAAAAGCTGTTTCCCTGCAGACATTCACTACAATGATAGCATAAATACGTGTAACTTGATGCTCTCAAAACTACATATATCAGACATACTCTGTGTACTCCTACTTATAATAAACATGCAAAATATGGAATAAACACTAGCAAATCAATTGCAGAAGAAAAATTTAAAGAATAAATCTCATTTAAATGTTTTATATATGAAATCTACAAATTATATTCAGCCTGTGTATGTACCTACCTTGATAAAAATGTAGACTGTTCAGTCAGTAGTGTCTTTTCCCCTTTATAATGAATGATCATGTGATGATGATAATGATGATGATGATGTGATGACGATGATGATCATGTAATGATGATCATGTGATGATGATGAAGATGCAATGATGATGTGATGTTGATGATGATGATGTGATGATGGTGATGGTAATGATGTTGTGATGATGATGATGACAACTATGATGATGATGGTGATGATGTGATGGTGATGATGTGATGGTGATGATGTGATGGTGATGATGATGTGATGATATGATGATGTGGATGTGATGTTGATGATGATGTGGTGATTGGGATGATATGATGATGGGGATGATATAATAGTGATGGTGGTGGTGGTGAAGTCAGATTTTATTTATTTCACATTGTTTATCATTATACTATTTTCTAAGCTTTTACAGTCACAACTTTCAACAATTATTTTAAAGCCTTTTAAACTATTCAAAAATTGAACTTTCTATCTAGATACAAATATCTCAAATTGTAGATGTCAGAGATAATGGAGGATAACCTCACATTTAAAGATGTCATACAGATATCCGGCCTCCTTGTGCTGAGATAATATCTAAAATGACCACATAGTAAGGCTTAGGTTCTTTAAGGGATAGTTGTTAGGGCTCAAACTCAAAGCTACACACATGCTGACCATGTGTCCTATGATACAAACACAACCCCAGTCCCTAAGAGTAAGTATTTAGAAATGATACAGTTCTTCTGTTAGCTAAGGTGACATCACACTCCTACAACAACTGAATTACTATTCACAGTGGCCAAGAAACAACTGTGCAAATGTCCAGCTAAGGCATTGAGAGAAAGTGCGTGATAAATATTTGAATTCATGTGTGAATATATGTATACATTAATATCATTCCGTCTTAAGAAATGAAGGAAATCCTGCCATTTCAGCAAGAATAGAAACAGACATGATCATGTTACACAAAATAGGCTCTTGTGTGGCTCTGAATCAGTTGGTCTTATAGAAGTTATGAATAGATTGGTACTTACCAAATACAGATAGAGGGTAAGTGCTGTAGATAATGCTGTGTGTCTGTGGCTAATTTTAAGATTGGGTCATAGAGAAAAATATTCTGAGGAAAGCAGAGAACTATAGGAGCAAGAGCGTGGAGTCTACTGCTCTATTCTGTGCTGGGTCTTGAAAGAGGTCCCAATGTTGCCCTTGAGAAGAAAGCACTTGGAATTTTTGCTCCTGGAATTTTCTTCTCCAGTTCTAAAATTCCTGGTGGAATGATTTGTACTTTTATGTGTACTTTTATGGCTCCCAGTAATGTTCTCAAGATATAGAGGGAAAGAGAGATAGTAGGAGCTATGACAGTCCCAATCATGGTCCTATTGGCCCATGCTAATTGTATTATTTGGTCTATAACAATTTTAGATTAAATGAGAACACAACTTCTGAGTAAATTGGGAGAACCTCTTATTTTTGTGACCTTGTGAAAAAGAATATTTAAATTCTTAACATTTTTTAAATTCTGGTAGAACAATCATAGGGGTGTCATTTGTGTTCCTCTTCATAACCCCTTTTCATTGTAGAGTATGGTGCTGTTGATACGTACTTCAATAAATGACTGGTGTATCACTGAGATATATGAAAGAAATATACAATTAAATATGTCGGAGCTGCAGATCTCATTAATTCAGTTTTTTTTCATATTCTTCCTAGGCGAAGGTGAAGTTTACCTTTGAATGCCTAAGAAGAAATGACTATTGTAAGCATCATCACTATAAACATATTGAAGCATAATCTATTAAAAAAAAGCTTCTTTGTAGCTAAATGAATAGATGTATTTAGTTTCTTATACAATAAGTTCTCGTTAACTGTTTATTTTGTCTAGGTATTCTGATATATGTTGGGAATGTAACGGTGAAAATGTTCAGTTCATGCTTTCAAGTTGATAGTTGGGTGTGGAAATTGACATGAAAATGGGCAACTGTGATTCAAAAGGGGAAAAGTGCCATGTTGAAGAGAAAATCACTGACAGTGTGGCCTCACTCTCTCTTGAGGAATTTCTTCACATCTGCTCCTAAGGGAACAAATGAGATGAGGGTATATATTTAGGCAGAAGGAAAGGCAGCCTGCCTCACATTGAGTGCTCCCAAGACTGTAGGGTATTAAGCCTTGAGAGTGGTGGGAAAGATGCTTGGATTTCATGAAGGGGGCAAGTGGTGAAATGCCATGGCTAATCACTATTACTAACATTAGCCAAAATTATCAATGTATTTGTTAGTCACTGAACCAAGCACTTTACATGAAAAATGTCACTTAATTCATGTAACACCTCTCATGTCTCTCTTTAAGATTTTCAAACACAGGGATGATAAATGGATGTTCATTCTAAGGCCCATGAGAAAAAGCACTAGATAAAATGAAAACAACATCATTGGCTGCCAGAATACTTACATAGCTATTTACACCATTATACAAACTAGAGCAAGACACAAAACAGAAAATATAATAATAATTTGTTTTATTCACCACTTTGACAGTTTCAAAGTACAAAGTCATCAATTTTAAAATACAAACAATGTGTGTTTCCTGAGGAAGGAGCAGGACTCAGCTAGAAGAAAAAGGGGTGATCAGAGAGAGATATCAAAGAAGTTGGTTGCAAGTTACAGGGTAGATGGGAATATTATTCATGGGCTGAAATCTTCAGAGTGAGGGGATCCAGACCATCTTATTAAAGCATCAATTCCTGGGGTCACCCATGGTGTAGCAAATGGGGACCTGCTTCCCGTTAGATGCTGAGATGCCCCTCTTATTTTCTTAGGGTCCACGGAGGGAAACTCGGCAAACAGGGCTTCCAGGGCTTGACATCTGACCGATTGGCCCTTTCACTGGCAGGGCTTGCTGGTGTTGCTGTATGGATTAGGTTAGTGACGGCATCCCTGTTAGGGTTTGAACAGTGGCTGAGTAAACTCGGTCTCCACGTCTATCTGAAACCAGAAACTCTGGTTGTCAATCTAGGCATGTTCTGTACACTTAACAACACTCAGCACACCCTGGAACCCAATGCACACATAACCACACTTTGGGAGCACGGCCTGTTGGCAGGCCAATTCTGAATGCTGAAGGGCAGCTGGGATGAGGCTGTCTCCTGCATCTCCCCACCCCCTCTACTTCCTTCTCAGCATCCTTGGCCTCTAACCTCCCTGTTCTTCTTCCCCCAGGGCTCTACGAAACCTTCCTAACCAATGATGAACCCGAATGCTGTGACATCAGGAGCGAGGAGCAATCCGCACCCCCACCCAAAAGGACCGTGGACAGGAAAGACTCCTGCCCCAGGACATCGCTCACAGTGTCCTCTGCCACCAGACTGTGCCCTGCCCGGCTGAAGCTGTGTGTACTCGTCCTCATCCTACTTCACACAGTGCTCACCGCCTCTGCAGCGCAGAACTCCACGGGGCTGGGCCTGGGCGGCCTCCCCACGCTCGAGGACAACTCCACCCGGGAGGACTGAGTACAGCCTCAGCGTGTGCGCAAGGCGCAGGGCTGGGCAGTTGCGTGCTCCTGCCCCTGCCCACAGAGCATTGGCGACCCACCCGGGATGAGCACCTGCTGCTACCCGGGAACTGAACCCACCCGGGTGCTTTACCCTTGGACTTCCCGCAAGACCTGTGGGTAACATTCAACAAGATGGGCCCGATTCCCAACATGGACACAGCTGCAGCTTCTTACCGACTAAGAGGTTGCAAGTGACTCAGTTTCTCACACCATTTTATACACTGTGTTACTGTGTTTTAACGTTTGGGATTTTGTTTTCTTTTGCTTTCGGTTCGGTTTGGGTTTAGTTTTCATTTATTATACTTTATTTCATTTTCTGCACTTGTTGATGCAGGATTTCTTTGTGGGTGAACTTAAGTCTCTTCACTGTCTATCTATCTATTTCTAGTCATTGTGTGTCCATCAGATACTGTCTACGTCCTGTCAGTTTCTAATAGAGGAATGACCGCTATAACCTCACGGTGTAGCAAAAAAACAAAAAACAAAAAAACAGAAAACAAAAAACAACAATAAAAAAGAATAAAAAAGCCAACAAAAAAGACAAAAAAAAAAAAAAAAAAAAACAAAAAAAATAAAAAAAAAAAAAATTCCCTAAGCCTCCTTCCAACCCATGGACGCCACGCCCTGCAGGCCCTGCTGGCCCTCGCCTTCTGTCCCCAAGCAGACAACATTCGCTTGCTTCTGTCTGTGTCTCGCATGGTGGGTGTGTGCCCTGCACAAGCCCTAGCAGAGGGAGCCAGGGCCTAGTGGTTCCTCTGGATGATCCAGCAGTGTGCTCAGAATCAGGCAGCTCACAGGTTTTATGTGGGAAAAAAAAAAAAAGAGTGAAACATGCTCCTGTGAACCGAATCGCTCCAGTGCCCATCTCCAGTTCTTTCTTCCTAGCCAAGCAGACAGGAGTGTCCCATGGCCCAAGGCCAGAAAGCAGCCCCCCATGAACACCGGGGCGCTCGCCTCCAAGTGATGGGAACCGAGACCAAGAACACCAATCCAGAAATCTGTTCCTCCCTTATCATGGTGGAAGGGATTCTAGTATACAGAATACTTACCATTTAATCCCAGTATTGCCCCAGTATAGGGTTCCAATTTCTTCCAGGTATAAATGTATACAGCTCTGCAATATCACAGAGAAAACTCCTTTTTAAAACAATCAACAGATCAGCCATTTTTACTACAGTACGAAGCGTCCTCACGTCAGCAAGCTCTAGGCAGCTGAGAAAAAAAAATAAGTATAATCACTGTTTGTAATTTTTTTCTTTGTGGGAACATTTCACCTGCTGAGTGTATATGAATTTGCTTTAAAAAAAAAAAAAAAAAGAGGCTTTTATGGGTTTACAGTAGGGCCAGTGGAAGGAAAAGTCAATAAGGGCTGTTTTTACAAAACAAACAAAACAAATAATTTTAAAAGACACTTCACATTCCTTCCTATTCTCTAACTACACTTGGGAAGTGCACTTCGGGAAAGGTTGCTGTGTGGCTGAGAGAGGAAGGAAATCCAGACAAGGTCCTCCTAGTGAACAAAATTTAGTTGTTAACTTTAGAGCTATTAAACACCCCCAGGGCATTTGTTTTTGTTCGGATTCTATCCTCTGCATCATGCTTAACCCTGCAACATGCGTACAGTATGCATATTTTGTTTTGAATACAATGTTTTGTTCCAGTCTGTTAAGATATTAAAAAATAATAAAGGTATTGCTTAATAAAATTGCTAGAATTGTTTAGCAGTACATGCACAAATATTTTACTAGATTCTTTGTTTTACTAGTGTTTTGTTGAGACTGAAAACCCTAAAATGCTCTGCATAAATACAAAAAGAAAAAAAAAACATTAAAAAATGCTCTCCTTTTTCTTTAAAAATGAACCTTGGCCCCCCTCAGTAAAGATTTATTTATGCGTGTGCCCGCGCGTGCATGCACACGCGGGCACACACACATACACACACACAGATACACACATGTAGCGCCCGCACTACAATCTGTTCCACTAATCTGGCGAAGGCCTACATATTTAAAATAAAAGACAAGATATCGTATCATTCGTGCAATAGGAATGCTGAATGCTGTTTATTGAGGGGAAGAAGCAGACTTACACACTGACTCACAGCACAGTAGAAAACAATCAAGGGGCAAGAGTGAAAGCTCTTGGGCTCAGTTCCTCCCCAGCAGATGTGTGTTAGCAAGTCAAGAAGAGTACCAGGAACTACTTTGGTGCAAGATGTTCCAGGCAACAGCTTCAGGCTTGCTCAAGGTGCCTGGGGGGGGGGGGCATGCAGGGCTGTACACACACACACACACACAGATACTACATTTTAATTTGTGAAAACAAGGTGCTCTTTGAGGATATAAAAGGTGGTAACAGTGGCTTTGGGGGGGACATGCTAACTGCATAAGGTAAAAGAAGTACAGCTCCAGGGAAAAAGACTCACCTGGAGAGCTGTGTTCAAAGGACATAGGGTAAGTGACTGGGAATTCTGGGAATTCTGTCTGCCCCTTAGGGGAAAAGCTACTCCCAAGCCACAATTCTTCATCATCCATACATCAAACTCATTCCATTTGTGCTGTAACCATTTCCATTCTTGAAGGAAACACCATGCTAATAAGGGGGAAAATACTACCCCTCCCATTGCTGATATGAAGAGAAGTTGTCATTCTTTCTAAATATACCAGAGCATAATAGTAATTAAAAGCTAGAGCCCTGGATGGATTGTTTAGGGAACAAATTTTTGTTTTCTCTTAATATTCTTTGCAATTCATTAAAGATGTTTTCTTCCCAAATGTAAAGGATAGGCAGCTTTGCTTTTAGAATGAAAACAGAAAAATGTGCAAGAAAAGCTATATTACTTTCCCTTGGAGATGACTTTAGATAATACTTTTAGATGTTAGCTAAAATATTATACTGCTCAGTATTAATGCAGAACCATGCCTTAGGTGAAAAGAGGGTGGTGAATGTACTGGAAGGGAAAACACACACACACACACACACACACACACACACACACACACACACACACAAAGAGTCAATGCAGAGATCACTGGGATAATCTGTAACTCCCAGAAGATATTCTCCTTATCGTATTCATTTGTTGTCCTCAGGTTTATTATTACCATGGGTGTCCCCTTTGCACAGTTCCACCTGAAACAAAGGAAAGCAGAGGGGAGATTGGAAAGGATGGTGGCTTTAAACAGGCAGAGGAAGACCCACAATGCAGCCCCTCCAGCAGGCTTCTCAGCACATACTGAGTGTGTTTAATGCTGTGCACCTGTTAATTCTGGCAGAATAAATTCCAGCCTTGCTCCTCTGGAATCATCTCATTCTGTTTCCCTCATAGCAGGTGTCCCCACAGACTAGATAACAAACTTCAATATTAAAACAATTACCTCTGCATGCATGTTGAAAATCAACAAAATTATACCTGCATCATAGATGCATGGAACAAATGCCCCTGAGTTCATTAATGTCTCTTTTTCAGCAATAGGTAATTCCAGTTTGTGATCCATATTGATCCTGCTGGGATGATAACCATGTTAATATCATCAGGTTGTTTGCTCTGCTATTTACATTTTGGTTATACTGGATTTTCTTTCACTACAAAGGTAGTATTGTTCCCCCAAGACGCAATGAATTAAGGAAAAGTTGGTCTTTTGTGTGGAATCACTACCAAATGTGTTGGTCCCTTGCTAATGAATCCACGTCTTTTATGCAATTGACCCTATGATTTTAAGTAAAAGAAGTCAGAAAGAAAGGAAAGACAGGGCAGTATGAATAGAGGGAGCATCATCTTTGAAGTGGATGTATAAGTTCTCTCTACTTGGGAAAGGGAGCAAATGAAAGATATAATTAGATGTCAAAGCCATGTGCAAAAGGCACAAGTTATCAGATGATAATTGATATCTGAGGAACATTCAAACATTAATCTTTCTGAGTCTAGGTTTTCATTCTCTTTAGGTAACTAAACAAGTTAGGGCTTTGGGCAGCATTAAATCTGCACAGAACTGAAAGGTATTTCTTGTTTATCCTGGAACTGAAGCCATGTATTTGATTTCACACACATATGTGTGTATACAGAAAAGGGATAGATTATATACACTTATGGCATGGCTTTACAGAGACATAAATATGTATAATATATGTGTAAACATCACAAGTCAAACCTTAACTGCATAATTATTCCATCCACAACAACACATGCATAGCATTAAGATAAATTATTGGTCTGCAAACCTTTGGGCAGTATGCTCCTCTAGTATGAAAAACAGACTCTTGAAATGTCCCTGTCAGTAAAGGCAAACCAGTTTTGAAATAACCAGAACTTCTTCCATCTTCCAAGCTTTAACAATGTTTAGAGCAGACTGGATATGGCTTGCCGGTGTGGGACTATGTTAGATAACAAGATTGGAAGTGGAACAAAGGGGAAGAAAATGTCTGGGCGCTCTTTACAGGAAACCCTACCACCTTGATGCAAACTACCAAACCTCACTAGAGAGTCTCCTTACAAATGAAGAGCTACTCCTCTCAGCCATGAGATACAGCTCAACTCAAGGATCAAAATATGAAATACGTCCTCTTTCCGGAGGCCCATCAAAGGAGTCTTCAGCTGCTACATGACATTCTAATGAGGGCTGAAGTAACAACCACTGCCTATTCTGTCCCAAGTCACACAGGTGGATGGAACAAAGGCACCCGGGAACTCAGGTCTTCCTGAGTTGGCACTGGAGTATAACAGGCACTTGAATCTTTTGGGGAGCAGGTGTGTTCTCTCTGTATTCTAAACTATCCTTTTAGTTACTTAAAAAGAATCCAGCATCGGCAGGCTCTAGCCCTCAAATGACATGCTACTTCATTCTTGTTCATTCTATCGCCATTTTATTCTGAAGTCACAGAGAAAGAGCATCCAGTGAAATCTTGGTGGAATGCTAATACCTTGCTAGGAATTAGTAGTTCACAGAGAAGTGGCCTGGAGCCTTGTCAGGAGTGCAGCTATGGCTCCCCTTATCCTGTGGAGCAG